AGCTGTATCTTTCACAATCGACTAATACAAACACTGCAGCTAGTGTTTGGACCCTAAGTGTTAATAAGTTGAAACTAGGACAAGCTATCTCTGTTCTTACCCGTGTTCTCTGAATATCAGTGGCTCTCAAAGTGCCGTCCCTAGAACAACAGCAGCAACATCACCTGGGAACTTGTTAGAGATACAAACGATCTCCCCACCAAAAAACGGTGAGTAGATATTGGTGGTGGTTGTGTGCCTTTGAGTCAGTTCCAACTCAGCAATCCTGTATAGGATTTCCAGGGTTGTAAATCTTTATGGAAGCAGAAAGTCTCATCTTTCTCCTGTGGAGCAGCTGGTAGATTCAAATTGTGGACCTTGCAGTTAGCAACCCAGTATGTAACCCACTGTCCCACCAGGGCTCCTTCGAAATAATGAGTTGTTGTTGTTGTTAAGTGCTGTCACGTCAGTTCTAACTCATAGTGACCCTCTACAGAGTTTCTGAGGAGCAGCTGGTGAGTTTGAACCACTGACTTTATAGTTCAAACTGACCTTGCAGACCTGTGCTTTACCCCGCAGACCCCACAGCGCCAACCAGGACTCCAAAGTAAAGAGTGGGGCCCTACAATCTGTGTTGTAGACAAGTCCTCCAAGTGATTCTGATGTACAGGAAAGTGTAAGAACTGCTGATCATGACCAAGGCAATCAGCTACAGATAACTAAAACAAATGTACATCTATTTAATAGTAATAGATTAGATTTCCAAGGAATCTTTCCTCCAAAATAACAAATAAATTTTGTTCTGGTAAAATGATATCACAGAAATGAAATGTAATAGGATGAATGTAAAGCTGATGTTCTCCCATGTAAACCTCACAATAAAAACTTAAAAAAAAAAAAAAATGATATCACATACTAATACAACGGAGCTTCAAACAGTTCATGAAAACATCCTATTCTTTTTCTATTCCATTTTTCTACAAACTCTTAAAAGCCTCCTCAGAGCTGTATTTAGAAATAAAGGAAAAATGGGGAAGCATAAAAGGGAAAAAGAAAACCAGACCTCAGATGAAAATACAAGGCAAAATAAATAAGCCCAGCTAAACTATTTGTTCTGTAAGATAAATGGCAAGTATAGATAAGATGTTCTGAGCTAGTCCTCCATTGTTGTTGTTGTCATGTGCCGTGGAGTCGGTTCTGACTCATAGCAACCCTGCACAGGGTTTCCGAGGCTATAAATCTTTATGGGAGCAGAAAGCGTCATCTTTCTCCTGCAAAACACTGGTAGTTTCAAACTGCTGACCTTCAGGTTAGCAGCCCGATTGGTAACCACTACGCTACCAGAGCCCCTTTTTAATGGCTGTTGTTGTTGTTGTTTTGTTGTTGTTGTTATGTGCCGTGGAGTCGGTTCCGACTCATAGCGACCCTGTACAGGGTTTCCGAGGCTGTAAATCTTTACGGGAGCAGAAAGCCTCATCTTTCTCCCGTGGGGCAGCTGGTAGTTTCAAACTGCTGACCTTAAGGTTCACAGCCCAATTCGTAACCACTATGCTAATTCATTGAGATCTACCATCTTTTCTGAAACTAACCCCTGGAAATTAGATTTTTCAGTGATTTCTTAATATTTTACAATTATACATAAAGCTTCAGTGAGTACCATTGTATTCAAAGATTTGGTACTTCTCTGGTTATTTCTCTGATAAATTCTCAAGAATAGAATTACTAAGTCAAAAGTTAAGAAAACTTTTAAAATCCATTATTGCCCAAATGCCCTATAGTTAGGATTACTATAAGCAATGTCGTTGCTGTTGTTAAGCGTTGTAGAGTTGCTTGTGGGTTTGAACCGCCAACAATTAGCAGTCCAGTACTTATCCTACAGCGCCACACCAGGGATCTGTAAGCAGTGTTGTTTTTGTTATTATGTGCCATCTAGTCAAATCATAGCAACCCTGCATTGGGTTTCCAAGGAACAACCGGTAGGTTTGAACTGCTGACCTTGTGGTTTGCAGTCCAGTACTTATCCTACAGCACCATACCAGGACTCATAAGCAATGTTGTTATTGTTGTTGTTAAGTGCCGTCAAGAACCCATAGCAATCTTCTATAGGGTTTCTGAGGAACAATGGTGAGCTTGAACTGCCGACCTTGTGATTTAAACTGACTTTGCAGTCCAGCGCATTACCCACAGCACCACACCAGGACTCCCATAAGCAGTGTTGTTGTTGTGTTATGTGCCGTGGAGTCGGTTCCTACTCATAGCGACCCTACACAGGGTTTCCGAGGCTGTAAATCTTTACGGAAGCAGACAGCCTCATCTTTCTCCCACGGAATTGCTGGTAGTTTCGAACTACTGACCTTGCGGCTCGCAGCCCGATTCGTAACTACTACGCTACCAGAGCTCATTAGAAGCAGTGTAGTAAGAGCTTATTTAAACTTAATCTCATCATTTAATTTTTTTTCTATCTTTCCTATTTTGCTTGGCAAAAATTAAAGTCTTCATTCATTAGTGTTTTGTTTTGTTTTTTAATTAATCATCAAGTTTAGAAAAAATTTAAGAGTTAAGCACACTCTTCCTATATGACCCAGCAAGCCTACTTTTAGGTATTTATTCAAAAGAAAGGAAAACATGTTTACAAAGACTTGTGTAACCCCAAAGTATTACAATAAATGGATAAACAAATTGTGGAATATCCATATATTGGAATACTAATCATAATGTTGTTGTTGGTATTGTCAAGTGCTGTCGAGTTGGTTCCAACTCATAGTGATCCTGTACAGGGTTTCCGAGGAGCAGCTAGTGAGTTTGAACCATTGATCTTGCAGTTCAAATAGACCTTGAGGTCAAGTGCGTATCCTATGGTGCCAAAAGTATTAAATATTAATGCCTGAAAATAACATGGGTGAATCTCAAAAGTAGTATGGTAAGTGAAAGAAGCCAGACACCATAGTGTATTTATATGAAACTGTAAAACAGGTAAAGCTACAGTGACAGAAAGCAGATTGGTGATTGACTGCCTGTAGCAGAGAGGAAGGTTTAGGGTGACAGAACTCCATCTTCTTGTGTGGCTGTGGTAACACAGCTGCATACAATTACCAACACTCATCAAACTCTACGCTTAAAAGGGGTGATTTTTTTGTGTATATAAAGTATACCTTGATAAATCTGGAAAAAAATAATTAAAACACAAATCATTCAGGAAGTATTGGGAAAATAAACTTATCCAAAGCTGAGAAGCAAAGCAAATATCACTTAAGAAATTTGGGGGAAATCTTTGCTTATTTTAAGTTCTCTCTATTCATACTCACTCTGTAGCTATAATAAAACATTTGATGAAATTTTACATTTAAATATTTAACATTGCATATTTTTGCATATTTCTGTAGCATCTTCATGATTATAATTTAAAATAGTTATATAATTGCCCGCAGAGTTGAAAGCACAAAACTATTCCCCTATTATTATCGGGTGAATTATCAAGTTGTAAGTAGACGATTCCTCAATATTGGGATGCCACCAAGTGGACAAGCTGTGTAATGCTGCTGGAGTGAACTGACCATTTTATAATAGGGAAGTACTAGGCAGGATCCTCATCCATGTCTTAAGTAACCTAACCCCCAAATCTGAACCTGTAGTGCTGTAGGATAAGCACTGGACTGCTAACCACAAAGTAGGTGATTCGAAGCCGCCAGCCACTCCTTGAAAACCTATACAGGATCAATATGAGTTAGAACCGACGATAGCACTTAACCAACAACTCTCAAATGTGAAACTACAGGAATCAATTAGGAAAAAGATCTTCCTGTTGAAATTGAGGTTCTTACAAACTAAAGCCACAAAAGTACATGATAGATATGCCTATGTTGTTGTTGTTAAGTGCCATCAAGTCGGTTCCGACTCATCCAAGGAGCAGTTGATGGGTTTGAACTGCCGACCTTGTGTTTCGAAGTCCAGTCTGATACTACAGTGCAACACCAGGAGTCTGTTGCCTATGATGGTGGTTATGTGCCGTGGAGTCGGTTCCGACTCATTGTGACCCTGTACAGGGTTTCCTATAGCTCAATCTAAACCCACTGCCATCGAGGTGATTGTGACTCACAGTGACCATAGACAGCGGTTCCTAGAATAAATCTTTACAGGCACAGACAGCTTCATCGTTCTTACGAAAGATGGGGTTAGCAGCCCAATGCCTCACCCACAGCACCACCACGGATCCTTACAGCTCAATACTCCCAATTTCCTCTGACAATCCTTAGTCTTTTCCATCTTGCTTATTCAAAGCTGCCATCCTCCACAGATTGGAAGGAATCGTTTAAAAAAATAAAAGAATCCCACTCTAAGTAGCTCTTAAGTAAGTTTCACACACTCATCATGAGTCCATAAAGGAAAAGCTAGAGAGAGAGAGAAGTAACTTGGTTTGTTGAGACAGAAACTAGAGCTTTGACTTCACTGTGGTAAATGAGAGCCTGTCTTCTCTTTGCTGAAATGTTTGTTTGCTTGTTTTTACTTAATCATTCTTCTCAATGAGAAATAAATTCATGCGATAAGAACTGAAAAGGAACAAAAGAGTCAACTGTGCAAAGTGTCCTTCCAGCTGCTTCCCTTAGCTGCCCAACCCTATCCCCAGAGGCAACCATTAACCATTTCTTGTGAGTCCTCCCAAAACCATTTTATACATATACAAGCAAGTATATATAGACTTATATGTTCTCCCCAGATATCCATTCTCTCCTACTTCCCTTTTTGTTACATGAATGATAAATT